GGAGAAGGAAATAGCAAACCGCTCCAGTAACTTTGCCAAGAAAACCCCAAATGGGGTCACAAAGAATCGGACATGTCTAAAAATGACCGAACAAAAACAAGAAATGACAGATATGAATACTTCAGTGAAATCTGAGGACACTGATATGAACTGATGCAGCATTACATCAGTAAGAAAACAATGCACATAATCATTTAAATAACGTAAAGGGGAAAAGCAATAAAAAAGAAATTGAACACTATGAGCACAATATAAAGATGAGATTTGGTCCCAGAGAAAAATTGGGAACATGTACATCTCTCCCTTCTTTGTGTGTGTGTGGGGGATCTAGCGGTGTGGAATATTTCATATGTTGTCTGACAAGGCTGATGTGTCCCTTGGTTTTTTTTTTTGTTTTGTGTGTGTGTGTGTGTGTGTGTGTTTAGTGAGGCAATTGGGGTTAAGTGACTTGCCCAGAGTCACACAGCTAGGAATTATTATGTGTCTAAGGCAGGATTTGAACTCAGGTCCTCCTGACTCTAGGGCCATTGCTCCATCCACTGCTCCAGCTAGCTGCCCCTATCCCTTGGTTTTGCTGACAGGATTTTTCCTTCTTCAAAAATCTTTGTTACACGGCTTGTTGTGTAGGGAACAAGGGAGAGATATACTTGGAAATGAAGGTGATGTAAAACCAAAAGCTTTTTCTTTAGACCTCACCTGTGATTTCATAGTATAGGGAATTCCCGGTGAGGAAACTCCCTTTTTCAACGTGCATCAACTCCTGCTCTGCAACTTAAGTCTTAGAAATTGGTTGGGGGGCCCTGAGACATGAAATGACTTGCCCAGGCAGTGTGTGTCAGAGGTGAGACTTCAACCTAGATCTTCCTACCTGAGAGGCTAGCTCTCTATCCACTACTCCATACGACTTCTTGTTTATTGATATTTTTTAAAAGTCTATAAATATGAGGTTCTAAAAAACTAAAAAATTTTCCTCTTCACTTTCCCCTTGTTTGTTGTCTTCCTTTGATTTTCATCCTTGAATGATCATGAGATGACTTTGTTGGTTGAGTTTCTTGTCAAACTATTTAAACTGGCTCAGCCCTCCATTGTTTCTCTCTGATTTGTGTAATGATATTTTTTATAACTTTCCATCATCTTTCTTTGCAAGATTTTGCAAATGCGTTTTTATTCTAACCTGTTATTGTCAGCAGCCATCATCTCTTTGATTGGCAAGTAAGTCGGATGTTTACTGACCAACATCCTCCATGTACTGTATGATCCAGTGACAGCACTGGCTGTTCCTCAAACAAGACCCTCCATCTCCTGACTGCATTTTCTCTGGCTGTCCCCCAGGCCTGGAATTCTCTCCCTCCTTATCTCTGCTTCCTGGCTCTCCTGGCTCCCTTCAATTCTCAGGTCAAGTCCCATATTCTTTGTATCCTTAGCACTTAGTAGGCACTTAAATGCTTACTGACTTGACCAAGGCACTCTCTGGGCTCTTTTGGGTCTGACTGTTATAGCAATTGATTAACACTGGCTAAACTTCAGGATAAATTGATTAAATTCAGGGTTGATGTCATTTCTATTACATGTTATCGATTTTTCCTTCTCAGTAATTTCCTTAAGTCAGCACTGAGTTGTTTCAATTATGAGCCATATCTTTTTCTTATCATTATTCTTTTAGCTTGATGCTAATTTTGGGCTTTGCCCTAATAAGTTAATGGACTGACTTTTACATGGGCAGTCGATCCAGGAATCATTTCCACAACAGTATCTTAGATTCTGTTAACAGAGAATAAATTTCATGCCAGAGTGGTCCAAGACTGGAACATCAGGTGTGTTGTTCTCTAGGTAATGTGACTATAGCACACGGTGCATCTGGATTTTCTTTGAGAGATCTAAAAAATTTACCTTAATGTATTGTTCTGAATAAATTCAAACACTCCAAATTATGGAGATTAAAAACCACTCAAATCTTTGGAGGCACCACTCCTGCTTATGTAGTTTTAATTTTTTTTTTTAACAAGATGGCAGCAGCACAGAAGCCACATCAGATCTTCTCAGAATACAGTGGGATAGATCAGCCAGAGTTCCAGAAAAATAAAGTCTGAGAGAGGGCAAACTTTAGGAAGTAAAATGAAAGCAAGAGCCCTCAGGAGGCTTGCAGTCTAGTAAAGGAAGCAAGAATTTCCTTAATACCACTAAGTAGACTTGCTATTTTTTTTCTTCTGCTGTGTTTTGTTTCCTCTTTCTGGTGGTTCCTCCTATTGGTTCTAATTCTTACTTACAACATCACTACTGTGAAAATATGCTTAATAGGAATGTATATGTATAGCCTATATCAGATTGCACATCATCTTGGGGAGAGAAGTGGGGAGGGAAGGGGAGAAAAATTTAAAACTCAAAAGCTTATGGAAGTGATTGTTGATAATTGAAAATAAATTAATTTAAAAAATACCACAAAGTAGATTTTTCTCATGGCATGAGAATTGCAAAGTTCAGAGGAAAAGGAGAACAGGCTGTGTGGTGGAGAGGACAGAGCACAGAGTTTAGTTGGCGGACCTGAGTTTGAATCTTGCCTAAGCAATAGCAACCTTCTTTGGGTTTTGTATATGATTTGACGAGCCTCTTAAGCTCTTTGGAACCCAGTTTCCTATTTTTAAAAGGAAGGGATTCAACTAGATGGTCTTTAAGGGACGTTCCTCCTCTAATTCCTACAAGCCTATGATTGCTTTGCTGTGGTGGTTGTTGGAGAGGAGAATCAGGGAAAGACTTAATTAGGCAGAGGATGTTTGAATTGGGTCTTAGAGTCTGTGTTCCTACAGGTGAAGATAGAGGATCATAGGATCCTATATTTAGTGCTGAATAGGACTTCAGAAGCCCTCTAATGCAACCCCTTAATTTTGTAGAACCAGCAACTTGCCCAAGGTCACAGAGGTAGCAAACATCAGAGACAGAATTTGAACCTGGGCTATCTGATTACTAAGTCAGCTCCTTGCTCTGTGCCATGGGAAGAGTACTTTTTCCCCTCCCCTACCAGCAAACAAAACAGCAGGAGCAAAGGCAAAGAGCTTAGAGGACACCATGGAGAGATGATATACTTAGGGAGGGCTTTGAGTGTAGAGAGTAAAGACCAGAAGAATGAAGGACAGAGTCTTGAGGGAGATCCTCACCAGTATGAGGAAGAAAAAGGTCTGTAAAGAAGGACAGATGCGGCAGCTAGTTGGCACAGTGGATAGAGCACCAGCCCTGGAGTCAGGAGGACCTGGGTTCAAATCCAACCTCAGACACTTGACACTTACTAGGTGTGTGACCCTGGGCAAGTCACTTAACTCCATTGCCTAGCAAAAAAAAAAAAAAAAAAAAAAGGACAGAGTCTTGAAGGAGATCCTCACCAGTATGAGGAAGAAGAGCGTCTATAAAGATGATAAGAATATGAATAATGAGAGAAATAATAGGTGGAGAATAAGGAAAGTCACCAATGCCATGGGAGGAGAGTTTTGAGAAGTAGATTGTCAAACATTGTCCCAAACTATGTAGTGAGAATGAGGACTGAAGATGAGTCCATTTGATTTGATCTAATAGTTGATATTTTTTTGAAAAGTAAGTGGTGGGGCACAAGAGCTAGGTTGCATCTTTGAGGTGGCTTCAGCTTTTAGATATGACGAACGCTCCACTAGTAAGAGCTGAATGTTAGGTTGACAATGGGAGAAAACCCAAGCCCACTGCTTCCTGGAGTCTGGACTGCCTGAAAAGAAGCAGATCCATGTCTTAAAATTAGGATCCTAGATTTGGAGCTGAAAGGGGCCTCAGATGTCATCTACCCAGTCTTACCCCCTGATTTTACAAATGAGGAAATTGAAGCCTTAACACTTGTCAAAGGTTAAACCAACCAGGTTTCAAATAGAGGTCCTCTTGAACACAGATTCAAGACACTTTCCATGTTACAATATAGTGAAGTTTGTTTCAGGTAAACACCACTATTTATAAGGAGTAGAGATTCCCCAAGACCACCAGAAAATGGAGGTAGTTTCGCTGGGTCAGAGAAGGTCTTTTCGGCTTATGGATGATTATAGGGTCTCATCTGAGTAACTGGTTCAATAAAGAAGTCTTCCTTGAGAGGGATGGAAGTTATGTTCTAAAAAGGAATAGCTTTGGGGACATCAAATGCTAAAGTGTGGGGAGTTCCTGAAGGTCAGGTTTTATAGAAGTTAATTCCATTCGATAAATATTTATTAAGTACTTGCTATCTGCCAGGCACTGTACTAAGCACTGGGGATACAAAAAAAGAGGCAAAAGATAGATCCTGCTCTGAAGGAGCTTACAACCTACCAGGGGAGACAACATGCAAACAAAATGCATACAAAGTGAGTTATACCCAGGATAAATAGGAAATCATTAATAGAGGGAAGGCATTGGAATTAAGAGGGGCTGGAAAAGGCTTCCTGTAAGAGGTTTAATTGGGACTTAGAGGAAGCCAAGAAGCTCAGTAGGTGGAGATAAGGAATGAGCGCATTCCAGGCTTGGGGGGGGCAGCCAGAGAGAATGCTGGAGGTGAGAGATGGAGTGTCTTGTTTGTGGAACAGCCAGGAGGCCAATGTCACTGGATGGAAGAGTATGTGTTGGGGGGGAAGGTGTAGGAATACTGGAAAGGTAAGAGGCGGCCAGGTGATGAAGGGCTTTGAATGACAAACGTGACAAATTATGACAAACTCAGACACCTCTGGTCAAAGATGGGTGTAGTATAGTGGAAAGAGCCCTAGATATGGAGTCAGGAGAGACATGGGTTCTAATCCTGCCTTTGACACATATTTGCTCTGCGGCCATAAGCAAGTTATTCTATGACTCTTGGCCTCTTTTCAATCTGTAAAAATGAAGATGATAATAACACCACCAGTCCTTGCCTGCCTGGGTTGTATGACTGGGTATATAAGGACCATTACAAACCTGATGGCGCTATCTTAACGTGTGCTGTCTCTAGCATTACTAGGGCACTATCCCAGCACTGCAGAAGTTCTTACCAGTACTGGCCAGGGTTCTATAGCATCATAGATCCCAGTCTTGAAGCACAGAGAAGATGACCAGATTTCAGCTTCGTGGGCCAAGAGGTGCCAGCACCAATGGTTTCCTCCACCAACATCTGCTGTGGGGTCAGCTGGATCCAGGATCACAGGCCTAAATAGCCAATAAATTAATCAATCAGCAATCATTTGTCAAGCACCTACTATGTGTCAGGGACTATGCTATGTCTTATATACCTATATAAAAACAGAACGGAAACAATCCTTGCTCTCCAGGAACTCATAATCAATTGGGGGAGACAATATTTACATATATAGGTCTGCACAAAAGATCTATGAATTAAATATAAGCTAACTTTGAGGAGTAGGTACTTGCAGCTAGGAGAGAGGGTTGCCTAGGAAAGGCCTTATGTGGAAGTTGATCTGAATCTTGAAGGAAACTTGGGATTCTGAGAGGTGGAGGTAAGAAGGGATGGCATTCTAGGCATGGGGAACTGCCAGGGTAAAGTCACAGAGGTGGGAGGTGGTGAGATATATACGACAAACAGTAAAATAAAGGCTAGTTTTGATGAACTATAGAGTCCATGAAGGGGAGAAATGTATAGTAAGGCTAGAAATAAAGGCTCAAGTCAGACTGTAAAAGACTTTAAATGCCTGATAATGAAGTTTGTATTTAATCCTAAAGCTAATAGGGGGCCATTAGAATTTATTGAGTAGAGAAATGACATGGTGAGATGTTTGCTTTTAAAAAAAAAAGATTGTGTGAAGGCAACAGCATGAAGAATAGATTGGAATCGGAAGAGAATTGAGTCAGGAAGGCCAATTAGGAAGTAGCAGTGGTCCAGTCGGAAAGATCAGCAAAGTAGAGTATCAAACAATGAATCTATTAATTAAGTTCCACTGTGCTGGGTGTTGAGGATGCAAATAAAATCAGCGAAATGATCCCTACTCACAGAGATCTTAGATTACAGTGAGGACATATATAAGCATGTCCAGAATAGACGTAAAGACAAATCATTCTTCTCCAGGCTACACTCCAGACTTTCTCTACCATCCCAAAGCTCTGCTCCAGTCCTGGAATTCACACTTGGAAATACCCTGTGACCTCATCCTCAACTTGGATAGTTCCTCCCGGAATCTCCAGGCCAGCTAGGTCTTATTTCTGCTGCAATCTGGACTTTCTGTAGTATGCACCTTATCTCTCTCTGTCTCTCTGTCTCTCTGTCTCTCTCCTCCTCCTCCTCCTCTCTCCTCTCTCTCCCTACCATTTCCTTTTGTCTGTCTGTCTCTCTTTCCTTCCTCTCTCTATCTCTGTCTCCCTCACACCCTTTCCCTTTCTTTGAGGGTAGAGATCATCTTTCTACTTGTATTTGTATTCTCAGTGCCCACGCCATAGTAAGCCCTTATTAAATGCTTCTCCGTGACTGAAATGCAAATCGATCCAAAATAGTTCAATATAAGATGATTTGAGAGGGAGGGAGTCAGTAGCTGGAGGGTCATGAAAGACTTCTGGTGGAAGGTGTTACTCAAGTTATATATTCAAGGAAGAAAGGGACTTTTTTGAGGTGGACATTAGAAGAGAATGCACTTCACATATAGAAAACAGCCAGTGCAAAGGCCAAGATGGGAGACTGGAGTTTTGTGTGCCAGAAATGGAGGGAAGACCAGTTTGGCTGGATATCAGAATGTGAGAGAGGGAAGAATGTTCGACAGGGCTGGAAAGATAGTTTGGGACCAATTTGCGAAGGTCTTTAAAAGCTAAACAGAGGAGTTTCTATTTGATACTAGAGGCAACAGAAAGTCATTGAAGTTGAGTGAGTTGGAGAGTGACATAGTCCAATCTGGACTCAAGAAAATTCACTCCCGTAGCAGTATGGAGGATGGACTGGAGTGGAGAAAGACTCACTGTCAGGGACACTAATTTGGAGTTGTGTGCAATAATCTAGGTGAAAGGCAATGAGGGTGGCTGTGTGAGGAGACAGGAGGAATTGAATGGGAGAGATGTTGTGCAGAAAGTAACAGGAAGAGACGTGGCAACAGATTGGATGTGTGTGGTGAGGAGAGTGAGGAGCCCATGATAATACTGAGATTATGACCTTGGTAGACTGGAAGGACAGGGATGTCTTAGACAGAAACAGGGAAGTTGAAAGGGTTTCGAGGTAAGACAAGAATTACATATTTCTATAAAAATAATATTAATGAAATAAAAATAAAGTAATATTAAAACATATTAATAACATTTAGATAAATCAAAATAAACTATATTAATGTTGCTATGTAACAGTTCAGGATGTGGGAGTGGGAAACCATTGGCATTTTTCTTTGTTTCTTCTACTCCTTTTCCTCCTCTTAATTCCCTTCTTGTCCTACTCTGTTTCCTTTCACTCTGGTGAAGGGAAAGGTAGAATCATGGGTTAAAGAGATCAATCTGAATGATTTTGTAGGTCTATGAAAATGCTGGGTCTTAGAAGACAGACCTTTAGCTTTCCTCCTTGTGGCCTGAAGTACCTTAGGCCTCTTCTGAATCTGAACTTTGGGTTATTTCTAGCCTGGAGAGATCAATGGAGAATATCTAGGGTCCCACTTACCTGTCTAGCTCCCTTGCTCATCACCACACTGACATTATTCTGTATAACCCATATGGAATATTCTTGGGTTCTTCCTTTATGAGGTGATATTGTCTTTTCCTTTTCTGGGCCACTCCTGTTTTTTTTTTTATTCCAACTTCACATGGGGTGTCATCACTTCAAAGGGCTTGGGAATCTGAGTCACTGACATTGGGTTTAGGCGTCAGGGAAGAGGAATGTGCTTGTTTGCAATGGATACCTGGGTTTCTTGAGCTGTTTCAATAGGAAATTCCTGATGATTTCATTCTGAAAATCATAGTTGACTATCCAGTAGACACAGAGCTTTTGGTACTGCATGATTAATTTCAGGACTGTCAGGAAGCCTTCAGCTGTGTCAAAATCTGTCATTCCACTACCTTGCTCCCAGGCATAGACTGTCAGAAGTTCTATGGCATACTTCGGAGGGAGGGACCCTTTCTTCTTCAATTTCCTTTGACACTGAAGGCCAAGAAAGAAAATAGAAACAACATAAAGGAAATAAAATTCATTCAATCCTGTCACTGCCATATAGTAGCCCAAACCATTGCTTGCAGGATGAGGGTACAGAAGGCCAACCTATGTACTAGACCATAAGACCTAGCACAGAGGGATAGTTGCCTCCTCTCCTGCTTGAGAAGTGTGTGTTCCTAGATATTTATCTGCTAACAGGAAGTACAGATAAGTTGTTCCTCTGGGGTAGAACCTGGGGTAGAATAAGCAAACATACAGATGGTTGGTCTCTGTTAAGTGCTTATAGCATCTGGAAATGAGGAATTTTTCTCATGTTGAGTAGGATGGAGAGATCTCTAGGGAAAAGGTGGTGGTATACTGGATGTTCTTTCTTTTATTTTAATTTAAAAGCATTTAATTTTTCCAATTACTTGTAGAGACAATTTTCAACATTCATTTTTGGAAAGATCTTGAGTTCTAAATTTTTCTCCTTTCCCTCCCCCTCTCCAAAACAGCAAGAAATCTGATATAGGTTATACATGTACAATCATGTAAAATATATTTCCGCATTAGTCGTGTTGTGAAAGAAGAAATAGAACAAAAGGTAAAAACCATGAAAAGAAGACAAAAAAAGTGAAAATAGTATGCTTTGGTCTGCATTCAGATTCCATGGTTCTTTCTCTGGATGTGGATAGCATTTTCCATCACAAGTCTTTTGGAATTGTCTTGCATCATTGTATTGCTGAGAAGAGCTAAGTCAATCAAAGCTGATCATCACACAGTGTTACTGTTACTGTGTACAATGTTCTCCTGGTTCTGCTCATTTCACTCAGCATCAGTTCATATAGGTCTTTCCAGGTTTTTCTGAAACCTGCCTGCTCATCATTACAGCATAATAGTATTTCGTTACACTCATAATACCACATCTTACTCAGCCATTCCCCAAATGAAGGGCAGCTGGATGTTCTTTTATTTTTTATTTATTTTTTGTTTTTTTTATTAATTTATTTTCAGTTTTCAACATTCACTTCCATAAGTTTTGAGATTTAAATTTTCTTCCCCACCCTCCCTGCCTCCCTCCCCAAGATGGTGTGCAATCTGATATAGGCTCTACATATACATTCCTATTAAACATATTTTCACATTAGTCATGTTGTAAAGAAGCATTAGAATCAATAGGAGGAACCACAATGAATGTTCTTTCTAACAAAAACATTTGAGAATCAGCTGAGAGCATGTGCTAATCTCCGGGGGAAAACTAACAGTAAGATGGGCTGACTCCCATATTTCTCCCTAACCTTCTTTTAGATAAGCATCCACATTAACTAAATATGTGTAATTATTATCAACATATCTATTTGTAGATACATTTATATAGAAAGTACTGGAATGCTTTCCCTTTTACAAACCCTGGCTTCTTTTAAGACCCAGCTCAAATGCTAGTTTTACAGGAAGAGTGCAAGAAGAATAAAATAAACTTAGACTACTAAACCAGATTGGAATCAGATTAGGGAGCACCTTCAGTAGCAAGAGAAGAAATTTATGTTTTATAATCACATCAGAAATGTGGAGCTATAGCAGGGTTTTGATTAGGGGAATGCCATGGTCATACTTATATATCAGTGAAATTATTCTGGCAGGTAAAGAGGGATGAATTGGAGTGGAGAAAGGAGTCAGAGAGACCAATTAGAAGGCTATTACAATATTCCAGGCAAGAGGTGATGAGAGTCTGAGTGACCTTAGTGACTGTGTGAATAGAGAGAAGGGAATAGATTGGAGAAATTTCATGGAAATGTTTGAGGGAGAGGGAAGAGTCAAAGGTGATTGACTCTGAGCTGTGAAGTCTGGGTGGTTGGGAATATAATGGGGCCATGAACAGAAACAGAGATGTTGAGGTGGTGATGGGGGAGATGATAAATTCACTTTGGGATATTGAGTTTGAGGTTCTAATGAAGCATCTAGTTGATTGACGTTTAGGTAAGAGTCATTTGCAGAGAAGTGATCATTGAACCTGGAGAGTGAAGGAGAAGAGTAGAGGGTGTAGGACAGAGCAATGGAGAATCACACACATTTAGGGGACAGGAGAGGGATGGTGAATGATCAAAGGAGATTAAGAATGATCAATTGGGCAGATTGGAGGAAAATCAGGAGAGAATGGTATCATAGAGGCCCATACAGGGAAAAGTATATAAGAAGAGGGGATTGTCAGTAGCGTAGGAAACTGAAAAATATCAAGGGTAGATGAGGGCCAAGAAAAGGATGGTGGTTTTAACAATAAAAGGTCACTGGTGACCGTTAAGAGCATTTTCAGTAGAATAATGATATTAGAAGTCTGATTCCAATGGATTGAGGAGTGATTAAGCAAATATAAATGACTTTTCCCAGGAGTTTAGCAGTGAAATGGCTAGAAAGGGATAAAGAACTGTAGATTGAGGGGATGGTAAGGTAAAGGGGAGCATGGAAATGTTTGCACACATTAGAGACAAGCTTATAATTCTGGGGGACTTTAATGCTAGAGTAGGCCCAGACTACCGGACATGGCAGGGAGGCCTTGGGAGAAATGGAGTTGGAAAGAGTAACAGCACAGCAATGGTCACTTACTACTGAAGATTTGTGCATCTCATTACCTTCTCATCGTCAACACTGTCTTCCATTTACCCAAATGCAATAAAACTTCATGGATGCACCCTCACAGCGAACGTTGGCATTTAATAGACTATGTGATTGTAAGGAGAAGAGACAGGATGTGAGAATGACAAAGGCAATGTGTGGTGCAGAGTGCTGGACTGATCATAGACTTATCCTCTCCGAGTTAAATATTCAAAGTCAACAAAAGTGGTGACTCCAAGGCAAAAAGACTACCAAAAAATTAATGTCAACAGATTAGAGTGCTTCTCTGAGTGGGAACAGTTTGTTGCTAACTTGGAGGGAAAGTTGAGCCGACACACAGTTGGCAACAGTGGAGCAGAAAAGGAGTGAGCAGATTTCAGAGATTTAGTGTACAACACTGCATTTGTTCATCTGGGTCAGAACTCTTGAAAACATCAAGACTGGTTTGATGAAAATGATGGGGAAATTCAGAAGCTGCTAAATGAAAAATGAGAACTCAATAGGATTTACCAGCAGGACAGTTCATCCATCTCTAATAAGGCAGCATTTAATTCCATCAAAAGTAAAGTACAGGGGCAGCTAGGTGGTGCAGTGGTTAGAGCACCAGCCCTGAGGTCAGGAGGACCTGAGTTCAAATCCAGCCTCAGACCAAACACTTGACATGTACTAGCTGTGTGACCTTGGGCAAGTCACTTAACCCCAATTGCGTAAAAAAAAAAAGTACAAGTGAAGCTTAGAGAAATGCAGGATTCTTGGCTTAGTAGGAAGGTAGAGGGAATTTAGTTTTATGCTGACGGCAACAATCCAAAGTGCTTTTATGATGCCCTGAAGGGCATTTATGGGCCAAAGACCTACGGTGCCTCTCAACTACTCAGTACTGATGGAGGCACATTGATTAGTGATAAGGACGTGATCCTAGAGAGATGGGCTGAGCACTTCCATAGTGTTCTGAACAGACCATCATCAATCAATTATGAAGTCATTGACTGTTCACCATAGGTTGAAGTCAATCCTTCCCTAGCTGAAGTTCCAATTGAAGAAGAGGTTCTGAATGCCATTAGGCTCCTTTCATGTGACAAAGTCCCTGGTGCTGATTCTATTCCAGTTGAGATTTACAAGGTGAGGGGTCCATTGCTCATACAAAGCTGACTGAACTTTTCTGGGTTATATGGCAAGAGGATGTTATCCCTCAGGAGTTCAAGGATGTCTCTATTGTTCATCTCTATGTAGGTAAAGGAAATAGATTGTCCTGTGAAAATCACAGCGGGGTCTCTCTCTTAGTCATGGCTGGCAAGATTCTTGCCAGAGTCCTCCTTAACAGGCTTATCCTTCACCTGAAAGATAGTTGTCTACCTGAGAGTCAGTGTAGCTTCAGAAAGGGCTGAGAAATAGTCTATACAGTGTTTGCTGCCTGACAACTCCAGCAGAATTTATACCCATTTGTAGATCTGAACCAAGGCCTCTGATACTGTCAGTCATGAGTGCTTGTGGAAAATTATGTCAACATTTGGTAGCCCAGAGAGGTTCATCAGCATTGTACATTAATTTCATGATGGCATGCTTGCCCAGGTTCTGGATAATGGACAATGCTCTTGTGCTTTCCCAGGCACCAATGGAGGGAAACAAGGCTCTGTGCTAGCTTCCATGCTTTTTAGCATGCTGTTTTCAGCAATGTTGTCAAATGCCTTCAATGAGAAAGGACATGACATCAAGGTCAGCTACCACACTGATGGAAAATTCCTCAACCTGAAAAGGCTACAAGCCAAGACTAAAATGGAGGGATTTTTGGTGCGTAATTTTTTGTTTGCAGATGATTGTGCACTCAATGTAGCCTCTGAAGCTGGATGCAACAAAGTATATATCAATACTCTGCTGCTCGTGTTTATTTTTGCCTAACAATTAACACCAAGAAAACACAAGTGCTCCATCAGCCATGACCACACCACCCATTCGTGGAACCATCAGTTACAGCAAATGGAGAAGTTTTAAATACTGTGGATAAGCTCACTTACCTTGGCAGTGTACCTTCCAGGAAGATATACATTGATAATGAGGTTGACACATGCATTGCCAGAGCTAGCTCAGTGTTTGGGAGGCTCCAAAGGAAAGTATGGTAGAGAAGAGATATTAGACTGACTACCAAACTGATAGTCTCCAGAGCTGTTGTGCTGACCTCATTGCTGTATGCCTATGAAACCTGGACAGTATACCAGCACCATGCCAGGAAGCTGAATCACTTCCATTTGAATTGTCTCAGGAAGATTCTGAAAATCACCTGGCAGGATAAGATACCAGACATTGAGGTCCTTTCTTGAACTAAACTGCCAAGCATTCAAATTCTACTGCAGAGAGCACAACTCCAATGCGCTGGCCATGTTGTTCAAATGTCAAATGTATGC